CCGCTCTTCAGAAACCTACGGGTGACGTCACGGACACTACGTCCACGTTTTTATACAGTCTATGGTATCGACAGAAGCCTGGATCAAAACCAGAGTTTCTGCTGCTGATTGTTGAGTCCACTAAATATGTCAACAAAGCTGACCAACCTCATCCACATATGTCCATCAGACTCCGTAATGATAAACGTGTGGATCTGGAGATCTCCTCTGCTGCTGTATCAGACTCTGCAGTGTATTAATGTGCTCTTCAGCCCAGTGACAGGAAAACAAACTAGCTACACTGTACAAAAACTTTTTCTTGCATATTGCATAATCATATTTTTAAGCTTCCCCTCATGCAGTCTCATTATTTTTCAACTTTCAATTCCTTATACGGTGGTCTTTCTCTAAGAATTACTGTACCATTTAAATGTACAATACGCCAAATTAACCAGTATGCCATAGTATGAACTCACATGCAGGAGAACATTCCTTTACGCAAAACTTGGCAAAACAATTAAAAATAATAAAAATAAAAAACAGCAAGTAACTATGAAATTTAATCAGTATTAAATATACAAAAATCAATAAAGCAAAACAAAGCTCGGTAGCACATTAGTTTAGGGACCAATTCTCATCATTAACTAGTTGCTAATTAGCATGCACATTGCTAGCATATTGGCTGTTTAATAGTACTTATAAAGCACATATTCTGCATGACCATATTCTGTATCTTTAATCCTACCCAATACCTAAACTTACTTACCTTACTACCAATTAAAAAGCAGTAATTAGGAGTTCACTGAGGCAAAAATCATACTTAATACAGTTATTTAATAGTAAGAATAAAGTGTGACCAAAAGTTCCTTATATGTCTATAAACAGGACAAATTCCTGCAGATGAGACTATGATTACTTTGCTATGTGATTTTGCACAGTAAACATAAATTGCGCAATCAATCAGATCTCTCTGGACAGCAGGGCCGGGCACAGCCTGGTGGCTAGAGCCACTGCCCCTCTGCCCTAATCAGCTGAGGTGCCCCTTTGCTGATAAACGTTGTGTTATTTATATTAGATCTGATCGGGTACAAACAAACAAACAAAAAAATACAATGCCTTCACAAAAAAGAAGGCAGAGACAAAGAGAGAAAGAGCGAAGGGGGCTGCTAAAGGCAGTTCAACATTGCAAACATGGATTCAAAGCTCCAGCAAGCCAGCAGGTAAATCATCATATTGAATATTTAGCAGTTTTTCACATTTTAATTCTTGCAATTAAGTATATTTCCCATTATAATCACTTAGTTGATACTAGTAATCTATAACACATCATATTTATAATATTTTATTAAAACCATATTAATAGTAGGCCTTAAAAAATGTAATATACATTTTCTAAATGAGTTGTTTATTAGTATATAATATAGATTTATGCTGTATAATAATAAATTAAATGTCTAATACTTATACTTCCAATTAAGATGAGGCAGAAGCAGGCTCAAAAAGTGAGGGAGAGCCCACTCTATCAAAACACCTACAATAAAGTCTGAAATTATTACAGAGTGTGTTGTCTTCTCTTATAATTCAATTCAATAATTCAAGGCATTGATGTCTGCCTACAAAACCACCACTGGCTCTGCACCCCCTTACCTAAATTCATTACTTCAGACTTATGTGCCCTCTAGAATCTTGCGTTCTGCAAGTGAACATCGCTTTATTGTGCCATCCCAAAGAGGCACAAAATCACTTTCACAGACTTTTACATGAACTGTTCCCTCCTGGTGGAATGACCTGTCAAAATCAATCCGAGCAGCTGAGTCCTTAGCCATCTTCAAGAAACAACTAAAAACACATCTCTTCCATCTTTATTTGACCCTCTAACTCTAGCAATCTCTATTCTAATTATATTCTTTTAAAAAAAATTGCCCCTTTTAGACTTGCACTCTATTCATTTACTAACTGCTTGTTTTCTTAAAAAAAAAAAATTTTTCTTAGAATAGAGCTTCTCTATTCTTTGTTAAGTCTATCCATTTTCTTTTTATTTATTATACAATTAACAAAAAGCAAAAGAAGGCCTCTAACACTAGCTTGCTCTATTCTTTTTCTATTCTATCAGTTTTCTTTTTTATTTATTATATAATAATAATACAAAAAAAAAACATGCTACGTGTACTGCATTAGGCTAACTGAGACTTGTCATAGCACTTTCATATCATTGCTCTTTTGTTGATTTTTATTGCTTCCATTGTCCTCATTTTTAAGTCGCTTTGGATAAAAGTGTCTGCTAAATGACTAAGTGTAAATGTAATATG